CTCTCTCTCTCTCTCTCTCTCTCTCTCTCTCTCTCTCTCTCTCATTTGACACATGTCTCCCTGTATCTCCCTGTAGCTCCAGCAGGCCTGGAACTCACTATGTGGATCAGGCTGCCTTTGATCTCAGAGATCCACCTGCCTCTGCCTCCCAAGTGATGGGATTAAATGCCTGTACCACTATGCCCAGCTTGAAGCCTAGGGCCTTGGTGCCAGACAGAAGATGCTTACATAAGTGGGGGCCAATTAGAAGCTGACCTCTGACAGGCTCCCAGAAACCTTACAAACTCACTGTCAAGTTGACTGGATTTAGATTCACCTAGGAGACTGGTGAAGCACACCTCTGGGCATGCCTGAGAGATCCATCTGTGACAGTATCTCTAGAAGAAATTAACTGAAGGGGAAGACCCTCTCAGAACCGGGCAGCTTTACCCCATAGGCTAGGGGCCTGAATGGAGTAAAAGGGGGGAGAGTTCCTCTGGCTGCCTCTCTCTCCTTCCTGCCTCTCATGATGTGAGTTGCTCTGGTCTGCCTTCCCCACCATGATGGACTCCAAACTCTATGAAGCCATGAGCCAAAATAAAGCCTTCCTATAGCTGTGTTAGGTGTTTGGTCAAAGCAATGGGGAAGTAATCAAATGTCATAGCCTACTGCTGGCGAGGTCCAGGGGAAAGGACTCTGAAAGCTCATGCTACTTCCCCAGACTCTACCCCTGGGCCTTCTGTCTTTGCTGACCCTGTTTCCCATCTTTGGGTCTCGTACTCCAGAGCTGTGGGCTCAGACTGTGAAAGAAGCCTGAGTGTACCTGACTGGAACCTGAATTGGGCTTCTGTGCCCTGAATAGCTTATCTGAAGCCATCAGTTCCCTCCAAAATAAACCTGAAAGAACCTGAACCCTGTACCCACCAGCTTTACATAACCAATAAAGAAAGGATCTAGGCACCCTGATAATACAAACAGAAGAATACTTCTACTTAATTCTCATATCAGAATCACAAACAACAAAAGAAATTCACACGCCAAAACCACAACGAAAGAATAATGAAATGGAAAGCCAAAATACTATGTCCCCAGCAAAGCCCACCAATCCTGTAGAAGAGTTCTACAAGAAGAACCCCCTAGAGATAACCCAGAACACTGAATTTAAAAGAACAATCATGCCAGGCATGGTGACACACACCTTTAATCCCAGCACTTGGGAGGCAGAGGCAGGCATATCTTTGTGAGTTCAAGGCCAGCTTGCTCTACATAGTGAGTTCTAGGACAGCTGGGGCTACAAGAAGACACTGTCTCAAAAAGACGAAAAAAAAAAAATAAAAAGACAGGCTAAGCGAATGGATTAAGACACAAAATTCATCTCTTTGCTGTCTACAAGAAACCCATCTCACCTTTAAGAACAGGTACTACCTTAAGGTAAAAAGATGGAAAAGAATATTCCAAGCAAATGGCACTAAGAAACAAGCAGGGATTGCAATTCTAATGTCTGACAAAATAGACTCCAAAGTAAAACTAATCAGAAGAGATAAGGATGGTCACTTCATTCTGATCAAAGGAACAGTTAACCAAGAAGATATTACAGTCCTTAACATATATGCACCAAATTCTGGTGCACCCAAATTCATAAAAACAAAACTACAGGGCTTTAAGACACAGATTAATCCCAACTCGGTAATAGTAGGGGACTTCAATACCCCACTGTCTCCATTA